CATTTCTTACTTAATGGAAACACTGCAGTTGTGAAACTGTTTTTCTACATTAACAGAATATCAACAGTTTTGCGCACATTTGCGATGGAAACACAGCAACTGATTTTCTCACTTTTACAGTGGATTGCATCAACTCTGTTACATCCAGAAGGGAAACTTCACCAAAGTGAAACATAAATCTGTGGATCTGTGTTTGATTACTCTGCCTGGCTTTCTCAAGGACCAGGATGTGACACAAACATCTGAATTATGGAACTGAAAGTGAAKGTATTCAAACTGAATTTTCAATAAACCCAAATAAAGTTTCAAAACAAACTGATGCAAATTCAAAACTTTAAATTCAGTTTCAGATTATTAAATTCAGTTACAATTTAGAAAAATCTGTCCCCGAACCTGTCCCTCCTTCCCTGCTTTGCAGCTTTGTCAAGCCTTTCTCCTACCTGTCATTCGAAAACAAAAGGAATTATGGATTTGGTCAACTGGTCTCTGAACGCAATCGACACTGTTTTTTCCACACTGAGATTGGAGRGAGGGGAGCGCAGCWGTCCCAGTGGAATGGCGGCGGCCGGGCGAGTGTCTGGTTCTTTGGGGTGGAACCTGATCTGTTTGGRGCCGCTTTCCATTGAAGACGTTGAAGYTCTGTATATATTTGGATTCATGATAACTGGATTCCTGCTGATCGGCTGCGGAGGTGTCCTGGTTTATCGGAAAATAAAAGTGATCCTGACAGCAGTCCGGGCCTATGAAAAACTGTCAGGGACCTTGGATGGTGCCTCCCGTACTGGAAATGCACAGACTCAAATGTTGGGGGATATAAGTCACAAACTGGACGTGATTCTGACGAGAATCACAGTTCAGCAGCGTGCCCGTGAGGCGTAAGATTACACCTGGGTTAAGTTTCAAACGGAGAGAGGCGAGGAGGTAATGAAATTCGGAACACTGGCATTTTCGCCATCACAGAGATGCAGTTACAGACTGAAAGCAGTGAGAAAATCAAGGCTGCTTGTCCCAAAACAATTATGTTTATCTTTGGAGCCCTGCAGCTGCTGACCTTGTCGGCAATTATCAAAACTCCCCCAGATGACACGTGAGACAGAGGCTTGTCTCCCCATCTCTACCCGTTTCATCCGTGAGTGGATCAGTCTGAAGGCCACGATGGGTGGAGYCAGAGAAACTGAACTCTGGTGATTTGTGCTTTTGTTGAAAACAACTTGTTTTTAGACTCTGGAGGTCTTTGATTGGTTCCAGCACAGAGTATTACCCTGAAACATCACCCGGATCTTTTGCATCCTACCTCGTACCATGTGTTTGATCCCCAGRCCCCTCCCTTCCACAGCTGCCTTGCACTATATGCAAGTGTTTTTTAGCCCATGATCCTGTGTAAACATAGAATCAGAGCATCTTTTTAAAGTAATTTTTCCTATTGTGTGTATTCCGAGCTTTTTAAAGGTAGCGCGACCCCAACTGGTTGCTGCCTGACCTGAACACCTGTTCCCCCATGTTTTTGTCATGTGTGTCTTCTTGAATGGGTGTTCTTAAATGTAATTTCATTGTGCAAATGATGACAATAAAGGCTTTCATCATTATCAGCAAATTCAGTTTCAAACCAATGCATTCAATTTCAAATTCTGCACATTCAGATTCAATCTGAGCAATTCAAATTCAGTTCCTGCTGGCACAAGWTTTATCCCACAGCCATCATTTGACCAGTGCTGTCACTTTAACACGTTTGTTGCTTTTACTGCAGCTTTAAGATTTGAGAGAAAACAAGAAGCTCTCGCTGCTTTTTGCACCTTTTATTCAATAATCTGTTATTTTCCTTCTGATTCTGCCTGCAACATGTTGCACAGTGCATCGGCGCACATCTGGAGCACTAAACTGTAACAGCTTTTCTTTGTTTTTCTTGGATTAGTCAAATCCCGATGAGTTTGTGTGAACGTAGGTAAGGTTTGAGCCAAGCTGCTCTTTGTCTAAAGCTACCAGGAAAACATGTGATGWTTTTATTTTGGTTATTTAGATCATAAAATGTGTAGAAAATTCAACCTAATCTTGAAGATCAATCTTAGTTTGACAGAATGAAGTAACTTGTATTTTTGTTTTGGTTTTTTATGGTAGTTTTTGTGTTTCGACCTCACATCCTGTATATTTCTGTACAGTTTGATCTGTGGTGACTGTCACCACCGTGCCTTCTCCACGCAGCGTGTGTCCTTGTGTTGGCTGGATCTGTGGGGGGAAACCCATCGGATGCTTTTYTCTCAGAAATCTGAGTGATTGTGACCGACGACAACCTCGCGGACGTTTGGGAACTCTCACAGAGTCTCAGTCCAGATTAAAGTTTGATTTGTTTTGTGTTGTCGGAGCTTCTGCAGATTCTTAAAAAGTTTGACGTGACTCGTTCAGGGGAGGAGCCAGAGGCGGGGCCATGGTGGCACCTGATTAGCCACAGTTGGTGCCACCTCCAATGACGAGTGGCCATCTTGGATTTTTTTAGAACATTTTATTTCAGAATTTGTTGACGATTATTGTCGGCTACRATTATACAAATTATCAGCTTTATGTGTCTAAAATTAGCTGTCTCAAATTAGCATTAGCCATTAGCTTAAAATTGAGATTATCTTTTCAAATGTCATGGATTGCTTTTGGCTACCACCACGCCAAATTTCTAAAATTAGCTTTGGTGGCAAATTTTTGTATTTGAATTCAGATTTTGTGGAAAACTAATTTCCTGGTCACGACTGCTGCACTCATTTTCAGCTTTGTTTGTGTAAAAGTGGCTGAATTATAGCTCTTTGTAACATTTGCTTTAGCGATTATCTTGAATTGGGACTAGCCTTTAGCATGTTTTTTATTATCATTCTTAGCTACTATCACACTAAATTTCAGCTCAGTATTTCTTAAAACAGCTGACTTAGAGCTATTCGAAATTAACTGTGGCAGACATCTTGYATTTTTAATTCGCATTCAGAACTTTATTTTATAGATTATTGTTGGCTACTGTTATACCAATTATCAGCTTTATGTGTCTAAAATTAGCTGAAATAAATCTCTTTCTCAAATTAGCATTAGCCATTAGCTTAAAARTGAGATTAGCTTTTAGAATGCCGTGGATTGCTTTTGGCTACCACCATGCCAAATTTCTCAAATTAGCTTTGGTGGCCATCTTAGATTTAATTTTTGAATTCAGATTTTGTGAAAAAAAAWTTCTGGCCACTACAGTTTTCATTTTCAGCTTTGTTTGGTTAAAAGTGGCTGAATTATAGCTCTTTGTAACATTTGCTTTAGCAATTAGCTTAAACTGGGACTAGCATTTAGCATGTTTTTTTATTATCATTCTTAGCTACAATCACACAAAACTTTGGCTCAATATTTCTTAAAACAGCTTATTTTAAAGCCGTGGRGGCCATTTTGAATTTTCAAATCCTGAGTAGTTTAATTTATTTGTATGTCCCCCCTTTAAAAAAACACCATAGCCACCCCTTGCAAAAAGCGTAGCTCCGCCCCTGAAGTCATTTCTCCACACAGGTGCAGGTTCTGGTTTGTTGGTTTGGATGTTTTATAAACTAATATCAAAACCAACAAGTTGAACCTGCAAACGTTAGCTTCAAAATCACAAGAAAGCCTTTAAAATCATTTAAACTACTTATCATGACAAATAAAATRACCCATAATTCACCACATTTAACTGCATCTGAAGTACCAGAGGATTTTTATGTTGTTTTGTTGTCTTGTTTACTTATTTTAAAAATATGTATTGAGCTTAGTTCTGCAGGAACTATTTTCTGCAGCGTAGTAATACCATGTTTTCATCAAAAATACACAAAACTGTCGTTAAAGGACGGCACCTGGATTCTTTCAGAGGATGTTGAAGGAAAATTCAACAAAATGCAACAATTTCAGGTAAAAAAAATATATAAATTTATATTCTGATGTATGTTTGATTTAAGGAGCTGGTGAAAATTTGGTGTTTAATCTGCACAACAGCAGGACTGATTTATAATCAAATTAGTCCCAAAACAAACTGAAAAATCTGTTTTTTACACTGTTGAGAGAATAAAACAAACTACAGTTGAAACAAGAAGGTAAACATTTATTTTAATATTTTACAAAAAGCTCATGTTCACAAACGTCTAAAAACACGAAGCGGTGAAAAATAAACGGATACATTCATCCATCAGACCACATTTCTTCAACCGACTCAATCGAAACGACTCAATAAAACCATCGAAAGTTAAGAAAAAAAACTGGAGCAGCTTTTATGGCACCGTTCACTTTCCCTCATGTCTGAAAACATTCAAAGGAAAAGTTTTTTTCCACGATTCACAGTTAAAACAATCAAATTACGCCTCCAGCTCAACCAATCAGAGAGCAGGAGTTTTACAGCAAAACGTCACGTTTAATAAAACCGTCCAATCAGAAAGTCTTAAACCTGCAGTTATTTACAGCGTTTTTCACATTTAAACTGCACTTTGTTTACTCACAAAACGGTCGACTTTAAACACAAAACTACTTGATAATTTCAGATTTATTACAGCGACGCTTCAGTCTGAAATCAAAGAAGAAGAAAGCTTTCAGAGGCTGAAGATGTTTGTGTGACCGAACCGTCTGATCAGAACCCTGCTGGTTCTGGGTCTGGTCTGCAGGCCGGGACAGTTTCTGGTCAGCCCTTGGCTCCGTTTGGACTCAAACTCCTTTAGTTTCAGAACTTTATTTTCTTTAAACYAGAACAAAATGAGACAAAAACTTATTCCTACTCTGATTTTTGTCCAATAAATGTTCTGTAATTGTTACAAATGACGACAAACAGAAATCTAAAAGCATCAAAACTCCTTTTATTTATAGTTTCTACAGTTTGTTTTGTTGTGAAAACCTCATTTTAGTCCTAATATCTGCAGAATTCAGTCAGTTTTGTGTTTTGTGGATCAGAACCTGGAAAGTTTTAGTTTTTACATTCTAATGATGCTGAAATGAAGACAGAAACCACTGATTTTTTTCATCACATTCGTTTCATTTTGACCTGAAAACTGCTAAAATCTCAAATTTTGAAGAAAACAAGGAGCCAGTTGAGTTTTCTTTGTAAGAAAATATAGTTTTTTAGCAGCTGTTCTGCTTCCAGAGTTAAATGTTTTGTTGATTTTACAGCTGAGATGGGATTTTTAAAGGATTATTCGGGGTTTTTGTTGATAACGGAGAGAAAATAAAAGTATAAATAGCTTTGTAAATGTCTGACATCTTAAATGTACAAAGAGAAAATGTAAAGAAGAAATAAAGTTCTTACAGAAATCACTGGTTTCACGTCGTTCTTTAATGTTTTTATTGTTTAAGCCACTTCAGTAACAGGTGCTTTATCTTCTTCTTGTGTTTTAATTTAATTCAAAAAAGTTATTAAAAATTCATCTTAAATCAGTTGATCTGATTTGTAGGAGTTAATTGAACAAAGTTTCATTTATGAGGTCCTTAAACACAGAAAACACTTCTTTAAAATGTACTTTAAAATTCCTCTTAAAACTCGTATTTCTCCTCATTTTACTAAATTCACTCAATAAATCAACTTGGTTGATGTTTTTGTGTAGTTTCTAGAAAGGCAGGTGAACAAGACSAATTCAAGGTTCCTTTTTTAAAGAATATAACATTTTGTAATAAAAATCTGTCTTTATYAACAAAATATGACTTCCTGTTTATCATTTAATGTGATTTTTTAAACACATTTAAAAACTCAGAAAAACACTGAGCAGGTGAAGGATTATTATCCTCTGTCATCGTTAGGAAACAATTCATCAAATATATTTGAAGTTAAATAAAAATCAGTCCTTGTTTCAGTTTCTCCACAGAAACACAACATCGATCTGAGTTCTTTAAAAATAAGTCGAATAAATTAAATCAGGTTTAATAACTTGTGCAGAAAACATGAAAACATTGAAGCAATCCTGAAAACTGGTCGTATGTTTGACTTTTCAAAGGCCTCCAGGTTGATTCAGAAAAACACTTTAAATAAACCTTTTTTTTTTTGTTTTTGCAGTTTTGTTTGTAAAGAAAACAAAACACAAAACGAAGCAAAGATGAGTTTTTGTGCTTGAAGGCACTTCTGGAGACACGACCGAGAGAAAAAACTTGAACCGGAAACAAACTCAGTTTTTTTTTAATAAATCCCTGTAACATATAAATAGAAATTAATTTTTTTAATTAATTTTTCTGTAACAGGGCAGTGGGGTCTGGTGGTCTGAAGCTTATGTGGTGAGGTATGAGGACTATTGTGCAACCAGTGGTTGCTACATCCTTGTAGCAGGAGGTTATATCTATTCCTAATCCAGTTATTGATCTGATTAATGACAGGCCGGCACCGCTAACTGAGAGGCCGGCGCTGGCGAATGAGAAGGAAACTATTCATGTGTGTTAGCATCAGAGAGGCTAACGACTAGCATGGATAAGCTGGCATTAGAATAGAATAGAAACAGCCTTTATTGTCCCGCAGAGGGGAAATCAGGTGTAAGAGTAGCAGCAGGTACATCAATCCACAAAACAATATACTGTAATGCTATGCAACATTATAGTGATGATAATAGAATTCAAATAACAATATTAAAAACATAAAAAAATTGATAAAGAAAATAAAATACTGTCCAACGCAATACAACTGAAATAACATAGAAATGAAAATAAGATACTGTGCAGAAAATAGATGCATAATAGCCACAGAGTATTATTTATGTAATGACTGAGAACAGAGTTGTTTAATGTGCTAACACAAGCATGGYTGCTTGTTGAGTTTTTGGGAGCAGTGCTGGTTATAGAGCTTAACAGCTGCTGGGAGGAAGGATTTTCGGTAATGCTCCTTTGTGCATTTTGGCATCGCCTTTCCAATGCTAACGTCAGCATATCCATGCTAGACACTATCCTCTCTAATGCTAACACCAGTATATCCATGCTAGTCACTAGCCTCTCTGATGCTAATTCCAGCTTCCACATGCTAGTTGCTAGCCTCTCCAACGCTAATGTCAGCATATCCATGCTAGTTTCTAGCCTCTCTGATGCTAATTCCAGCTTCCATGCTAGTCGCTAGCCTATCCAATGTTAATTCCAGCTACTCCATGTTAGTCACTATCCTCTCTGATGCTAACACCAGTGTATCCATGCTAGTCACTAGCCTCTCTGATGCTAATTGCTTCTACATGCAAGTTGCTAGCCTCTCCAATGCTGATATCAGCATATCATTCTAGTTGCTAGCCTCTGATGCTAATTCCAGCTTCTCCATGCTAGTCGCTAGCCTCTCCGATGCTAATTCCAGCTTCTCTATGCTAGTTGCTAGCCTCTCCGATGCTAACACCAGGGTATCCATGCTAGTCACTAGTCTCTCCGATGCTAACACAAATGAATAGTGTCCTTCTCATTTGTCAGTGCCGGCCTCTCAGTTATCGYGGTCAGCTGCTCAGTTAGCGGTGCCGACCTATCATTAACCATTAATCAATAGATATAGCTCCTGCTACAAGGATGTAGCAACCACTGGTTGAGCAATAGTCTTAATTTTGGCCCTCATACAGCACCATAAATTTAACCCTGCTGCTGCCGTGGGGTCAGAAAGACCCCACGAGGTCTCAAAGTTCAGTTTTTGACCTCAGGGCAGCAGCAGGGTTCTGATCCACAGAYACCAGAGGATCAGGGTTAAACTGAAATCAACTCAACATCCAGTTAAAACACTGAATTCTCACAAAGAACAAAAGGTTTACAGGCAGTGGAGCATCATGCAGTTAGATAAGTTTATACTGGTTGACATTTTCTGTACGAACGGCTGGTTGAATCTTAAACTTTGTCGTATCTGAAGACGTCCGACCCTGTTTAGTTCTTTCTTTGTCTTTTTACAGAACCGTTAAAAACATAAACAAATACTCGTCCTCCGGGTTCCTCTGTCACGTTGAATTTAACACTCGTGTTTTTGTCTCTTTCACAGCTTAGACATTATTAGTAATAATTCTTTCACAGTTTGTGTAGCGAAGTGCTGAACAGCTTTAGAATTAAAAACAAGATGAACGTTACTAAAATAACTCCTTCCTCAAACATAAACACCGAAAAAAGTCTGAAACTTGCTGCAAAATTCCTTTAAACGGATCATTAATTGAAGCAGGAGAAGCAGATTCACCCTGAACTTCAGAAAATGACAGGAACTACGTTTCCCATAATGCAGCAGGAGCAAGTTTCTCTTTCCACTTTCCAGAGGAAGGTTTCTGACAGCATCACACTACCCAACCAGGACACTGGACCTCAGAGGAGGCGGGACTTATTTACATCACGACTGAGACTGGACTCTCTGGTTCCTTTAGTTCTGGAGCGCCGGACCACGTTTTAACACGAATATGTACAAACAGACTTCCTGTTTCACCCTGGAGTCTGCTCCCAGATCCACGTTCAGACCAGAGGCTGCTTCGGGTCACTGGAGCTCAGCTGGGTTTCCATCACGGTCTCATCGGGGTACGGGTCGAGGAAGGAGTTGTTGAGGCAGGTCATCGGGATGGGCGGGACGGGGTCCGAGGCGTCGGGGCCGGCCGGGCGGCTCAGGTGGCCGGGGTCTCGGCCTGCAGGCTGGACATCCGGATCTGGGAGCTGCTCTTGCTGAGGATGGACAGCTGCGTCCCCCCGTTCACCCCGCTGCTCGCCAGCGAAGGATGCCGGTGCTTCAGGTCCACAGCAAAGTACCTGTTCACCGTCCAGCTGCGCCATTTCCTCTTGATCTCCGATTGCACCTTGAGGGATATACTTCACAAGGTCATTATTAATGGACCTCGCTGGAAGGGGACCAGCTCGCCGTCCCTCAGGCCCCGCTCAGACCCGGCACCAACGTGGGTCGTGACTCGTCCGTCTCATTACTGAGAGTACAACGCCTGCTTTCTGCACAACTTTACAAAGTTACAACAAACTGCACCGTTCGAAACCAGGACCCAGATCAGTGCCAGGTCTGAACAGGACCTCGGTCTGACTACAAACACGTTTGTGTTTTGTTAAATGCAAAGTGAAAGTGTTGAGATTTACCTCTCCGTTCAGGAAGCAGTAGAGGACGGCCACCACGAAACCCTGCAGAGACAGAGAGGGACACCACATGAGACGTGAGACACGACAAAGACTGGAATCAGGGGCGGAGCTAGACTTTTTAAGCAAGGGGCGGCACAGGGGTGGTCATGGTGGGGGAACATATAAATACAGGCTGCGTCCAAAACGACAGGCCGGGTCCTCCGGAGGACCC